AATAAGGAGATTGGGCCAGTGAGATGGCTCAGCTTCTTGCCAGGTCTTATGCTCTGGAACCCTAGGGGAGATAGAATTCACAAAGGTTGTCCTCTGACCTCACCCGCACCCACAAATATACACACATACACACTAAAGGTTTTAAAAGTAGGAGGGACTTTATCTAGTCCCTGTTCCTGATCCTACTAGAGCTAGCTTGCTTCTGAGACTGACTAAAAGACTGGCCAGCTTTTGGAGACATGGGGCATAGATTCCTTGCTATGAGTAGGTGCCGTCTTTTCTGCAGTCAACAGCTGTAGCTGCTGGGTTTTGTTTTGTTTTTTGTTTGTTTGTTTGTTTGAGGCAGGATCTCTAGCAGTCCACACTCGATCCTAAGGCTGAAAGCCGTCCTTGAACTCTTGATCATCCTGCCTCTGCCTCCTGAGTCCTTGGATTATAGGTATGTGTGCCATGATTAGCTTCATTTATTCTTTTTTTTTTTTTTATTTTAATTTTAGTGAGACAGTATGACACTATTCTTGGTTGTGAGTTTGACTACATCTGGAATTAACTAAACCGGAAGCTGCTAGGTACACCTATGAGGGATATTTCTTGATTATTTGAGGTGGGAAGAAGCAGCATAAATCTGGGCCACAGCTTCTGGTGGCAACCTATATAAGGGACATGGAAGAGAAGAAGGAAGCTCTTGCTTTTGCCTGCTTGCCCTCTCTCCTACTGGCTACTTCATCCCTTCACTGGCATTACAGTCTACTTCTCTGGGATTCCAACACATACTGACAACCAGCCAAGACATTCGGCCTCATGGACCAAACAACTATTGGGCTTCTGTCAACAGACTAGTTGGGTCACAGCCTATAAGCCACTCTAATAAATTCTTTCAGTTTTTTTTTTTCTTCTAGAGAACACTAATATAGACAGAATCTTGTTTGTGGCACCGGTTAGTCTTTTTAAAAATTATTTATTAATTACAGTTTATTCACTTTGTATCCCAGTTGTAGACCCCTCCCTTGTCCCCTTCTAATCCACTCTCCCTCCCTCATCTCCTCTCATGCCCCTCCCCTATTCCACTGATAGGGGAGGTCCTCTTCCCCTTCCCTCTGATCCTAGCCTATCAGGTCTCATCTGGACTGTCTGCACTCTCTTCCTCTGTGACCTGGTAAGGCTGCCCCTACCTCAGGGGGAGGTGATCAAAGAGCCAGCCACTGAGTTCCTGTCAGAGACAGCCCCTGTTGGCACAAGGTAGTCTTAACCTGAAGCAATCTTCCTGCTTCAGCTCTAGAGTACTGGGATTACACGCTACAGGCCTGTGCCACAGTACCCAGCTCAATGGCATACATGTGTTATGCAAAATGTCTTCTTTCACTTGCCAGAACGTTCTCCCACAAACTCTGAGAAGACTCAAAAGACCTAGAGTTGGTTCTATTTGCTGACCATGTAACAAATATCAGCTTTTTCGGCCCCATCTTTGAAAGAGTTCATAGGTCTCACAGCTATATTAAGATTCTCTGGGTTGAGAAATCTGGAGCCTCCAAAGCAACTGATTCGATTTCTCTTCATGTGCTTTATAACAATTCAAATTCAGCACATCTCATTAATGCTAACTATGACTTAAACCAATAACTTCTGGTTTATTTTACCTTCAGGGCACTGATTATGAAATCAGAAGTCTCATCCTTCCTCCAGAACAGGATGGCCATGTGCCTCTATCAGTAAAGAGCTCTTGGTTTTATTAATTGCAGAGCTTGTCAGAAAACCAAGGCAGGACCTCTTCTCATTGGCCTTGTCAGATCTCCACGGTTCATTTCCCTACTTGTTTCTTGAATCCTTCATGATTCCTTTATTTTTCCTTTTATTCCTTTCTCCCTCTTAGACACTCTGCAGCATCCTGTTAAGTGCATTCAGAGCAAAGCTTCAGAAAAACAGACCACATTTTATCATGGAGCTTATGGACCAAACTGGGAATTGGAGACATCCATCAACTAATGATCAAATCTGTAATTTCAAATAGCACTTAGTAGCATGAGAGAAAATAGTTGAACCCTGAGGGAAAGCTCAGGAGGTAAAGGCTTCATCTGGAAAGTGGCAGCTGAGCTGCAGAGGATAGGCGAGAGTGAGCAGGTGCAATCATTTTTAAGAGTCTGGAGTAGGAAGAGAACCAGGACCGTCATCATCAGTACTTCCCAGCCTTATACTTGGGCTAATAAATATACACAGAAGAAAGGAATGGACAATGTGAATAGTATAAAAGCAATGAAAATATGGCCTGGTTTTGATGTAAAACAAATAACAACTTGAACTGCTAGTAAACAAGATCTAGCCTGGGCGGGGTGGAGGGGTGCTGTTGTACATTCCAGCCTTTAAAGACAGTATGCTCCACTTTAGCTAGGCATGGTGGAACACACCTGAAATCTTAGCTCTCTAGAGGCCGAGACAGGGAAGGCTTGCCATGAATTCAAGGTCAGTCTGGGCTACACAGTCCAACACAGGCCACAGAGTGAGACCTGATCTCAAAACAAACAAACAAAGCAGAGAATTTTAGCCTTTGTCCCACCAGCAAAACGGACACTATTCACTGCTTTATTAATTCCTGGTATATGTTAGGCACTGCCCTAAAAATTGCTTGACAAAACATTCCTATTCTTATCCCAGCTTCACAGGCTGAAAACAGAGGTAGAGGTTGCTTACTCTGGTAGTAAACAACAGGAGTGTGACCCAAAGCCACGACTGAAGGCTCCAATATTGCCCCACAGGCAAGAGAGGCTGATAACATACAACTGAGTCTGATCCTCTTGGCAGGATGAGCCTGCTCTGGAGCTGAGAGAGTAAAGGGGTGTCAGAATTTAATGAGCTAATCACTGAATTTAATCCCCTTCCCCTGCCTCCCTACTAATAAAATAACCTTTAATTATATTCTGGCTTCCATATAGATTTTTCTGCTGGAAGGTAAAGCACAGACCAGCCTACACAGGCATTTTGGTCTATTTGGAAATTTTATTACTCATTGTGAGTTACTCTTAATGGCTGAGCCATCTCTCTAGCTCCTAAAACAAGTACAAATTATTAAAGTCTTGCCTGCTTTCCCAGGAAAAGCTAACAAGTAAGAACAAAATAAAACCAACAAATAAGAACAAAATATTGTCTCTTTTGTGACTTAACGTTGGGCTGCCTGCAGAGATGTGGTCTTGGCCACAGAGATGAGCCCATTTCTCTTATCTTCTTTGTTAAAACTCCAGCACAGCCTAAGAGCTCCCTTTGTTTCCCATGGTGCCTTTCTCACACTCCCACCTTTCCACTGGCACACACCCTAGAAGGCAATGCTTCTTGCTCTTCACAATGTACCTCATTTTCTGAGCCATTGGCAGCTGGCAGCTGGAGACTGACATTCAGCTTCTGGGTGTCAAGTGCATCCTATGCTAGGTGGAGGCTGTTCCCTAGCACCATAAAATCCGATGTTCTTGACAAATGCTGGTTCTCAGGAGCCGTGGGCTCCAGGCCTGCCCTAAGGCTCGGCCCAGCAGTTGTGACACTGGCCTCCCAGTGGGTCTCTGAATGCACAATCAGCTCCCGAGTGGCTCTTTGTATGAACATGTATTTTTTCACTTTTTCCTCTTCTCTCAATTCCTTTCATGGGCAAAACTGAGACAACTGCAAAGGTTTGAAAGAGAAAGTGTCGTAAAATCGAGGCCATTTGACCTTGAGAAGAGAGCCGAAGCACATTCGAAGGCTTGAGTAGAGCCCTCCCCAGCACACGCGTTTTGTTTTGTTTTCTCGTATTTTCCCGAAAAGATTGACTTAGCATCCAATTCCTCCCTCAAAAGCATGGAAAAACTAAGCCGTGCAAGGCCAGACTTAGGACAGAAAAGGCTCCAGCGCGGTCTCGGACGCCCAGGGTCCACGAGGCCCGGCGAAGGGGGGAGGGGAGGCCGGCAAGGGGCAATTGTTTCAAAAGCACAATGCAGCATCCCCGCGAGCTGGCCGTGCAGCCGCTTTCACCAGAGCGGTTCCTCGAGCAAAGACTAACCGCCGGGCCGAAGCCCCTCGGAATCTAAGGGCGGTGCACTACCGCCTCGGCGGGCCAGCCAACATGGCCACCCTACATGGCTTGGGGGACACCGGGCGGCGGCGCACGAGGCGCAGAACGGCGGGGGCGGCGGGACGGACCCTCCGCTGGAAGCACAGTCCCAAACGGCCGCCATGCCCGCGGCCGCCGCTGGGGGGCGCGCGCGCCGGCAGACCCCCGCGGGCAACGGCCGGAAGGGATGTGCCACGTCCTCTCCTGGGGGGGACCGTCCCTCAAATCCACGCCGTCCTCGTCCGGCGCCATCGTGGAGAGGGGCGCGAAACCCCAGGCGGCCCACTCGCCTCTCCATCCACCCCACGCCATCGAGACGACCAGCCACTGGCAGGCGGCGCGGTTGGCTCCGCGCGCCGTCCCCCCCGCCGGCAGAGTGGTCCAGCCCGGGCTCGCCCGGCGCCCCGCCCACCCCCGCGCCCGCCGGCGGCGCATTGGCGCGCGACGCCG